CCCTGGTTTCCAGGGATAGACATCTGAAACTGCATATGGGACTTTTCACAAATTATGCAAGAATATTTGCAGCTACTATGTGAAATAGGACAAATTTAAATGACATAATTGAAGTCAGCATGAATGACATGAATGTTCCTCTCACCTCTCATCAGGACAATTTTTATGTGATGTTCACTCATTAATGACATGATAATTCACCTGTAATGACAAAGATTTATGCTAGGCATCAGACACTAACTTTGAATGTGAATAATTCCTAAATAAAGATGAGACAAAACTTATGCTTCCATTGTGTTTTTGTATGAATTCTATGCTTAACTGATATGACATAACCCTCTTCTCATTTAAAAATTGTGAGCTGCATTCAAGGTGGAGATCATGAATACTGCACTCATCAAAAGGCAGAGGCTTATACCTAATTACTATCCTAGCATGTGGGAAGTAAATTTTGTGAACATTGTTTGAGACAAAAGGATTTTCCAGACTTTTGCCTCATCCTGTATTAAATTTATTAACTACTTAGTTAGCTTTCATTGAAGGAATCTTTTCAAATTTATTAACTTTTTTTCTTTTTATAATGCTATACATTATTTAACTGAATATTTTCATATTGAATTTAGAGATAATTTTAAATACTGAGAATTATTATTGCTTTATTATTCTATTATTGATCTTTGAGTTTTAGATAAAACTATATTTAATGAATTTTTATATTTAGGATATACATACATTAATTTTAAAAATATTTGCTGAATAATATGCTAATTAATGCTAATATCAGGAACAATGTCAATGAATTATTTTATATCCTTTTATTGATTACTAGCAAATGAGCCCAACGTTGCTCAGGCAAATGATTTGGATGATTTGGTAAATATTGTACATTTGGAAATTAAGTTATTACTATCAAAAACAAAAAATAACATCTAAAATAGCACAGTAGAAGCTGTTCTTCAGGTTATGCCTTAATCCTCTCTCTCTCCCCCATGGGGGAATTTCGAAAAATCCCTTCTTAGAATGCATTTTCATGACATACCCTAGCTGTGTACCAAATTTCATCTCTTTAGGTTCATCAGTTTGCTCTGGGCAATGATGAATCAGTCAGTCAGTCAGGACATGTAATTTTATAAATATAGATTATAAGGAATTTTCTCATATTTGAATTAATAACAAATATAGCTTATAATATTGATAGTTTCTCATAAATTTAAAAAAACAAAAGTTTCATTACTTTAGCAGCTTAAAATGTTGTTCTTTTAAATATTTTTTACCATAATTTTTGTCCTAGTTACAAAACTTTCAAGAAAAATGTGAAAAACTGTTATTTATTGACATTTGTATCAGTAAAAAGTAAACTAAATAAAATGGTTTTCATTATTGGGCTGCAATTTGAAAAATTGTAGACCTATAAATTTTCACTGTCAACTGTCTGTCTCTCCTACCTTAATCTTGAGAACGGTGTTAGATAGATGAAAGTCGAGACCAGATATGTAAAGATTAGGGGTAAGAGGTCCCGACTACCATACTTACTCATATGTAAGATAAGGTTTTTATTCATTTTTCACTGCTTCAAAAACCTGGGTCATCCTATATGTGCAAGTGAAGGATTCTTTGTTTTTGCAATAATTTTTGTGAACCATGTATAGCAGTGTATCATAGAGGTTAATATTTGTCTACTAATTTATTTATGTATTTTTATTTTTTTGATGCTCTATTTTAATTGCTCTCCCATTTGACTTACAGTATAGTTTTTTTATTTCTGCAAAGTACCTAATAGCATAAATAAACACTAACCACAAATTAAAGGGAATTGAAAACATTCTGTTTAGCTGGGAATTAGAGATGTTGCAGCTGTGTTGAAACTTAACAATGACATGTAAATGGAAAAGTGGTATAGATCTACTCCTTACAGCTTTTCATTTTGACTGTGATAATCATAACTGCTTTGTTTAAACAACTTACAAATTCTTTACTGTTATCGTGTGTTCTTTGGCAAATTCAAGTTTCTTTAAAAGTAGAGAATCATTTGTTTACTTCTGTAATAAATACAATTTCAGCTGTAGAAATACATATCTAATATTATTATTTGTAATTTACTTATTAATAAGTAAATTACAAACAATGACATTAATAAAAGTAATAAGTAGTTTACTTATTAAATAAGTAAATTAGTAAACAAATGCAAAAATAAATAAATTGGCAGTGAAAAATGAAATTTCCAATTACTCACTTTTGCCAGAAAAGTAACTACCTTTCCTGCAAAATTAAAAAATAAAATTCTTAAAATATTCTTTGAAAGAAAGAGATTCTAATCCAGAATAGCCTTAAGACATGGACTCTTATTGAAACATAACCACTACACCACTTATCTATTATGTACATTTTTACACAAAAGTGTATAAATTTAAACTGTTTTTTTCCTTGAAATTGCTTAAGATTGAGAATTCTTGACTATTAGGTTTAATTTCACAAAAACTTTCATTTGAATACAAAAAATATTTAAAAATCAGGTAGCTATTTCATTGCCTTTCCTTGTAAATTTAATTCAGTTAAGAATTACCTAGTTGTTATAACTGTGGAAAATGGCAATTATTTCTGTAATAAATAAAGTAAATTGTTTATTCTTCCTTGAATTATTTTAAATCTGATTATATATATTGAAAATTAGGAAAATAGTACATACTTTTTTTTATAAAACTACAGTGGAATCCAGTTATTATAATTATGGATAATGTTATCAATCGGCTATTGTTATAATAATCAGTTGGTTCCAGAACACACTATAAAATTATTTTAAAATAATTCTCCTATTATAAACAAAGCTTTGCTATTGTTATCAATTGTGATAATCTCACTTGGAGACAAACAATTAGAATTCATAGAAAATTCATACTAAATGGACCTTTTTTCAAAACTTGCTTTTAACCAAAGCATACCTTTGGGAATGAACATTCCTGTTGCAATTTCTCTAGTTTAGTCTTATGATCTGTTGAGTAAAAACAGTTGTTTATAAGAAATGTAGCATATGTAAATGTGTAATACTAGATACATACACTGTTAGTTGGCATTAAAATCCTTTTATCATGCAAGTACTTTCAATGATACAAAATCAGGCTTGTGAGCATCTTGAATTTTGAGTAGAACGTCACTATGTGCAGTGTAAAATTCTCAATATTTAAACATTCAAAATTCACAATGGAATTCAAGCCTCATAAGTATGAGAAAGAACAAAAATTTGAAACAAAGCATAATGGAACTCTCAAAACATTTTTATGGCATGAGTCCATGCTGCATTATAACACAGGATGACTAGGGTATTATGGTTGTGGTTAAATTTTAAAAGTGCAATCCACAAGTTAGGGAAATTTCTCGAGAAGGAAGAACTTGCTATCACTGCAGATAAGCCTGCATAAAGTTGGCTGTGGGGAGAGAGTCAAGAGGAAGCCATGTTTTTTGAAGATGTGACAAATGCATATAGAAAGGTGATCAAGGTATTGAATTGGTGACTGCATCCAAGTCAACAGTTTTTTAGAATGTAGAGTAGTGGGCAGGAATAGCAAATTTTTAACTCTAGTGAGAACATAGTGAAATTTAGATTAATACCCTCCCTCCTTGCATATGGCCACATAAACATTATGTAATTAGAGTTCAAAGAGCTCATGCATTGATGGAAGTAAAAACACTTTTAATGAGAGTAGAAATGGCCGACTTGATGTAACATGTGATATATAATGTGTAAAATTGTATTAATCTCCTTGCTACTTTCCAATTTTTGATATTAATGTAATTAAACATAAAAAATATTTAAAACTGAAAAAAATGAAAGAAATGAGTTAATTTTGAAGAAAAAGCTTCAAAGTTTAACTTCCTTTGTCTCGCCCTTCTGTGAAATTTAACACCGATGAGTCATTGTTTACACATCTGGATGACCTTGAACACAGCTGGAGTTGGATTTCCCGGGGCATTCTCATAGACGTCGCAGGAGGACAAGGGTTTAAAGTAGGGTGAACACTAGCTGGCCAAATATTTTTAAATATTTTTTAAAAATTTGGAGACTTATAAAACATTCCAAAAATTCCAAAAAAAAAATGTCAAAAATGGCCTTAAGGACCGTGTTTTATGTAACGCTATGTAACGTGCCCGAGTTAACTCGGCGAGGAACTAAAGGGGTTTTAATTAACTCTTCACATCCAGATGTCAGTGATTTGTTTTTAGAGTGAGCTTTTGCAATTCGGGGATTCCCCTTGTATTACTTTTCAATAAAATAAACTGAATTAAGTTTGAATACAAGTTTATTTTAAGCTTTTATATGAATTTCTTTCAGACATTCGAAGTAATTTATTAAGCAGCCTATTTCTTTTAATTTCTGCAAACTTTTTTATGCGGTTTTAAGTTAATTTTAACTCGTTGT